AGGCATTCCTTTTTTTATATTGTGTTTTTTTCTGTCCATTTGATTGTTGTTATGTGCCGTTGAGCCGGACTCGACTCATAGTGACCCCACCTTGGGTTGCCGAGGCAGTTATATGGAAATAGATTGCCCAACCTTCCTTCTGAGGAGTGGCTCCATTTGATACTAAATGTTAATAGATACCTTTTAAGTATATATTAAAATTATCATGCTTTCCCTAATTGTACCTATTAATAGGATGCATTATAACAGATTGTTGATGGTTTTTGATGAGTTTGTTTTTAATGTGGCTTGTGACTATTTTATATTCATGAGAAATAATAGTCTGTAGCTTGGTGTGTGTATTTATACATGTTCATATGCGGTGTGTGTGGTTGAAATAAGCATTACATCAGATTAAAAGTTGAAAGAAATCACCAAGTAAAGGAACCAGGTCCTTTAGTCTTTTTTTTTTTTCAAGTTAACCTATTGATTTTACTTTCAGTTTTTTTTTTTTGTTGTTATTTATATTGGGATTTTCTTTTATAGAGAGTTAATTTTGATCACTTTATATTCCAAGAAAAATCAACCTTTTTTTTTTTTTTAATTCAAGGTTTTTTAGTATGATTTGTTAAATGTTATGGCTTTTAAGAACTTCTCTGTAGCTGATATATCCAATCCAGCAGAGAAAGACAATGGAGATGTTTCCCTGTCTTTGAGTGGAGTGTGTGTGTCGGGGGAGAAATCAAGTGTCTCCACTGAGATGTCAAGACACAAATTCACCTTCAGGCAGATTTGTTGTTGTTATGTGCTGTCAAGTCCACCCGACTCATAGCGACCCCTCCTTGGGTTTCCGAAGCAGTATCACTGCGAATGTAGATTGCCCCATCTTCCTTCCGAGGAGTGGCTGGGGTGAACTGCCAGCCTTCTGGTTAGCAGTCAAGTGCTTTAGGCACTATTGGTGCCAAAATTTATACTGCCAGCATATTCTTAAAATCTAGTTAAAGTATCATGGGTGGTAGTACTCCCCAAGGCATCTGGCAGAAGCAAAAGCAAATCTCCAAAGGAACCCTCTTTAAACTCAGGCTTCAAAGAATTTCTCAGATAAAGTTCCTGTGAAGGTAAGCTCATAATAAATAATAAAAATTTTAAATCAGAAAGCACACAGGAAAACACACCCTTGTAAATTATAGTCATCCAAAACAACAAAAATAGAATGAAACTCATAAAGGTTGCAGATTTTGGAATTATCAAACAATATAAAATAATTATACTGAATCTATTTAAAGAAATAAAAGAATAGTGATGATATGGCTAGGGAGAAAAAAACATCAAAATTGATTGTCCAGATCTGAAAAAGAGCCAAATAGAATATTTAAAAATGAAAAAGTTTAAATTTGCAATTCAAAGGACAAATATCAAATAGACATAGATGTAAAAAGAAAGGTGAACTAAAAGATAAATCAGAAGAAATTACATAGATTTTACCACAGAGAGACAAAGAAATAGAAACTTAAAAAGAGATGAAGGTGAAATGACAAAATCTAATCTACCTCCAATTAGAGTTCCATAAACAGAGAGTGGGGAGAATGAAATGTTGAGAGAACGAATGACTAAGCAATTTCTGGAATTAATAAAAATTAATCTTCAAATTCAGAAAACCCAAAAAAGACATAGAAGGTGAGCAAACAGAAATTTAAGCATCCACATATCCAGCCAACACTGTAGAACTTAAAAAGACAAAGATGAAGCTGTAAATGCAGCCAGATCTAAAAGAAAATTTCCCTGCAAAAGTCCTGCAATCAAATGAACATCAGATTACCATTAACAGAAGCTAACTCACATCGAAATTATGTCAAAGTGCTAAAAGGAAATATTTTCAACCTATTATTAAATACCAAAGAAGAGTATCCTTCACAAATGAGGGTAGAAAGACAGTAGTAGTGTCTTTTAATTGATGGAAGAAAGTGAAGTCTGAGAGTTTAAGTTGATCAAGACCATGGACTATTAAGGTGGCATCCAAGGGCTCAAATACTTATCTCCTGACCGTAAAGCTATTGATCTCCAAAATACAGAAATGGTTTTCAACTTACTATGAACTTTACATTTAAAATGTCAAAAGGAAAGAGCTATACTTGTTAAAGGAAGAAAAAAAAAATAGCGTCATTATCTTCTCAGTGACCAATGAATAATGATTATACTAAATTTATTTTCTGAGTTCTATTAACATGTTTGTGGCTTTTTATGATATTCCCTTTCCAAATCTTGGTCATATTTAAACTCTGATTGGCTGTTTGTATTTTTGGGCTTTAGTTTTTAAAACTACCCTTTAACTTGGAGATGTTTTAGGTTGGAGCTATTCAAATTTTAATCTAAATCCCCAACAATTTTTGTCTAATTCTAATTTTTTAAAAAAAAGAAGTTCCCAGTTGTTCTCTCATTTCTCATTGTTATGCAAGAGCTGTTTCACTTTGGATCCTAAATTTCACTTTTTATTGCTCTCCGTGGAGTGGGTGGCTAATGTAAACATAGAAACCTGGCAATGCACCATCACTAGCCTTCTGACTTTACGAGTTTCCCCTGGAACAAATGGCCAGGTCAGTTCAACCTCCTGGTTATTCTCAGCTCGGTGCGAGCATTCATTTTCCTTTGAAACTTTGAACTCAGAGCCCCAATTCATCTGCTTCAGCATGCTGATCCAGTAACTTTCTCCTTCTCTGGGAAGATTTGGTACCATATGTAAGGGAGATGGTACTGACATTCTCCCTTGGAACAAGCCTGCTAGAGTTTATTAACTGATAACAAATAACACCTCCTGAGGCAATTATATGCAGTAGGTTTCTCACCACATGGCTTTCAGGGAAAGAACTTGAGACTTTGTACTCCTATAAAAGTCTTAACTGAGAGGGTAAGCACTGAACGTGCAAAGTGATGGTCCTTCTATTTTCCTCTTTCCTGTCCCAGCCTCTGTGAGGTGAAAACAGTAGACAAGCTGCTTACCATTTTATTTACTGCAGATTCTGATCTCCCACTTAATACATGGGAACTTCTTTGGAAGCACTCACTTCACTTTAAAATGTTTACAGCATTTTGGAATTTTCTTTCCTGGTGTTTTGCTGTAAAATCCACCAGGCAGGGTTCCCTGAGCTGAGAGCAATAGAAAAATGAGGTACCTGTACAGCAAAAAAAGAACAAAAAAACCCTCAGCTCTAACTTAGGTACCTCCAGGGGGACTTTTCCCTTGTTGCAGCTCATTTACTGCCTCCATATCCATGGCTAATATTTATTAAGCACTTAATCTGTATCAGAAACTGTGCAGAGATGCATTGTTATATAATCCATACCACAGACCTAATTTGTATTTTAATACACACACACACACACACACACAGAGGTTAAATGGGCACATGACAAGTGGTCTGTGTCATTCAACCATTTTTTTTTCATACGAAATTGTAACCCCTTCCCCACCCCAAAAAAAACTCACCGAGAAAACAAAAAATAAATGCCATCGAGTCAATTCTGACTCATGGAGACCTTGTGTGCTGCAGAGTAGGACCTGAGCCACCGGGTTGTCAAGGCTGCGACCTTTCAAAAGCAGGTCACCAGGACTGCCTCACGAGGTCCCTCTGGGCGGGGCTTCAAACTGCAGACCTTTGTTTAGTAGTCAATTTGTGCCAACTAAGGTCTCCCAGCACTGTACTGACGTGCCTCAATAAAATCATTGTCTCGCTCTTTATAATACTAAATTAAAGAATTTTTAGAAGTAGGTTTGCAAATGCATCTCAGTGCCTTATGCAACTTTAATATCCTCCTCTTTCAGCAGGGAAGAGCACCAACTTTCATATTATATACTTCCTGCATTTCAGAACAACTATTGTTTTCCTCTCAACTTTAAACTTCTGAATGATTTAAACAAATAATAATATGCAAACTTCTGTTCACATTCTTTTCAAAATTGTTTTCTAATGCCTCACTTCACTTTTGACTTCAAACTTTGCTTGATTTCCTTACATTCTACTAAAGAGTGAAAGCTACAAAGCAGATACTCATTATTGGTAATCATGAAAATATAGCAAAAACACAAGTTCAGATAAAATATAGCTCCAAGTTATGAATGAGGCAGACTTTTTAAAGCTATTTAAAATATAAGAAAGGTTATTATGAGGACAAGCCTGTTTTTAGAGAAAAGCTTAATTTAAAAAAATAGTAACAATACATCAAAGTAATCTCAACAAAATATTTTATAATACACTTAACATAAAATAGACACAGTGTTAATTGAACATCTATTTTGTTCTCAGATATTTAAAGAGTATATAGACTACGTGTAAGAAACAAACTCTGCCCTGAAAAGGTTGCAATTTGGTGTATGCGAGATTAACGTACCAAAAAATTTAACTACACCCTCCAAACCAAAAACCAAACTCATTGCCACTGAGTCTATTCTGACTCATGGTGACCCCCATTGGGTTTCCAAGGCTGTAAATCTTTATGGAAGCAGACTGCTTCATCTTTCTCCATAGAGCAGCAGGTGGGTTCAAACCACCAATCTTTTAGTAGCAGCCAAATGCCTTAAGCACTGCACCAACACACTGCCACAGAATCAATTCCCACCCATACCAGCCCTCATAGGGCTTCCAAGACTGTAAATCTGGTGGGTTTGAACCTCTACCTTCTAGGTTAGCAGCCAAATGCCTTACCCACTGTGCCACCGGAGCTCCTTTATTACACCCAAGGCAGTGCCTATTAAGTGCTCGTCTTACCCTCCCCTTCCCTTCTTCATTAAGACCTGACAGTTTATTCTGTAAATACTTTTGAGTCTTTCCTCTTCTTGAAAGAAGCTTGATTTTGAATTTCAGAAATAGCCTAGTATTATGCTTCAAAGACCAGAATCTAAGGTTTTTGCCCTCCATTTATTGCCAAATTATTGTGATTGATCCTTAAATCTGGGTTGAAGTGCTAGAAGGTGCTTTCATGTTACCCACTTTAAGGTATATCTCCATGTTCCTGTTACTCTACAGAGTCACCAGACATTGGGCCTTCGCTCGTGATTCACACCACTGTGCCATTCGGAGTTACCTACTTGGAACACAACACTGAGGATGTGCAGGAGTTAATCCTCAGGCAACTGGAAAACATTTTGCCGGGTTTGCCGCAGCCAGTTGGTACAAAATGCCAGAAATGGAGATATTCACAGGTAATCAAAGAATCCAGTGAGTGAGCACAACTGTTTTCTTAGTAAGACAGCACAATTGACTTGACTTTTTCATCCTTGCTACTTCATAGCAAAGGAAATTAACAGTGTGGTCTTTGGAGCAAATATGTATTTGCCTAACATGTAAGTGCAAACTTCTATACATTTTATTGTCCCGTCATTTCTCAGCAATGTGTGTGTACAATATCTCCCACATTAGGTTCAAATTCTAACATCTCAAGACTGGTACACTCTGGAAAACTAGCACTTCCTGTGTAGACAGGGCAGGTTACATATAAAAAAAGTAGCTGTTTCTCTGGAGGTTTTGAAATCACAACTGTGGTTATACAGAAACTACTGTAACCTTCTGGATTTTTGCAGTATGTCAGATTAACCTTTCAAGTGTATTTCACTACCACACATTTCATGTTTATGAAATTCCTTCTTTGGTTTTGACTGCTGCCAGCAGAGCTTTTTGAGATTCTTGCATGGAACAGCTGGTTGAGCTGTTTTCCAGGGTTAGCTACATCTACTGAGTGCTCCACAAGTTCAAACTTAATGCTCTTTATAGTAAGTAAATGCTAACTTTTGTGAAAATCTCTGTATATTCCAAAGGAGATTTGTGAGTACTCATAGAAAATGTCTTTCGATCTGTAAACTCAATTGTGAAGTCATCTGGGGGCCACGAGACAAGATTTCGAAGGTAGAATGAAGTAGTGAGTTATCCTTTTTATCCTGAGATTTCTGAACCTACTGATTCACTGACTTATCAGCACTATTGAGTATCTATCACTTACGAAAGTGGTTTTGTGGGAAATCATACTAGGTTTTGTATATTTTAAAGGGCTTTCCAATATCAGAGGAAATGGCAAATTATTTCCTAAAATATTGCAGCGTGTATCTGTGTTTACCCACATCTTCTCAAGTTAAATTATCCTGTGACCCTTTGGGGAAAATATTTACTTAAACATGTCATGATCATTTCAGAAGACTTTCCTTTTCTCTTTTAAAAGTTTTGAAAAATCTCAACACGTAATGTCTTTAAATTACATTTAGTACAATTTTAAGTTGGCTTGGAAAAGACGACAGGGAAATAGTCTTGTTGATATGATTTGAAATTAGATGTATTACACAGCAACTCATTTTGATATTTATACATATTCCTGAAAAGAAACAGCAGTTGATGAGTTTTCCTCTTGTGCTTCTTATAAATAATCAATCAACTTTAGAAAATTGATTAAAAATCTGTTTATTTCTCAAAATTTAATGTGTTAACAAAAATACTTTTGTCTTAACCACAAAATGACCTATTCAATATTGTGCAATATTACAAATGTCAATAAAACTCTTTGAACACAATGTACATCCAAATGCTAGCAATGATTTTTATTGCAGTTTGGATGCTCTTGCTTGAAATTATCCTGCTGGCATTAACAGCTCTGTAGTCAAGAAGTCTACATTGGCTACAAAGCCTGAAAGAGAATAAGTGATCATTCAAACTTAGATGTTTCCATTTTTCACTATTCATGTACTTATAGTACCTGGAGCCTCATTTTATAGAACATTATACCATTGTCATTTACGACAGAGATCTTACCTATGTTGTGTTTGACTTTTTTGACAAAGACCTTACCTATGTTGTGTTTAACTTTTTTTTTTCTTTTTTTCCTTCCTTATATAAATTACATGACCTCAGCAAAAGGAGTAATGAAGATCAAGAGATTTAATAGCTTTTAAGTATGGGTAGTAGGAGCTCTGGTAGCATAGTGCCTAAGGCACTTGACTGCTAACCAGAAGGCTGACAGTTCAAACCCACCAGCCACTCCTCGGAAGGAAGGTTGGGCAATCTACTTCCATAGTGATACTGCTTCAGCAACCCAAGCAGGGGTCGCTGTGAGTCGGGTCCAACTCAACGGCACATAAGAACAAGAAGTATGGGTAGTTAGTTTTCAGCTATCATTTCCCAGAAAATATTTCTCCAATGCTTTTAAAAGGCCCACCTTACCTTTGGAATTTAATACAAATGCATGCACCCCTCTTCCCTTGCCACCCCAATTCATGCAATCCATCTTCTATAAATTCATGCATGTTACTATATGCCTATGATCTAATATAGTGCTTAAAGTTAAAGGAAGTATGGTGTGGGACCAGAGACAGAAAATGAACAGGACCCACAAGTTGATTTTTATATTTTCCTCATTTCTGAGTAGAAGTGCAGTTCCATTGCAGAGATGCCAGTCTTTCCCCTCCCCCCTTATATTTTCTTCCCATTCTGGTCCCACTCTCCTTTCCTTTTCTTTCTCTCCTCCATCTGTCCTATTCTACCCAAACCTTCTCCCACACTCCACCTTTTCTTCCACTCTCTAAGAAACAAAAGATTGAGCCTATTCAAACCCTCCTGATACGAAACCCTAGAGGATCACAGTCTTGTTATCGCCCCCCCTGAGCAGTAGTGGGCAGTGTGGATTCCTCATCCTAGATGCCTCAGGTTTAACGCTTTCTCATCTTCTTCACCCCTTTAGTCACTTTTTATCCTCCCATTTTCCTGGCACCAGAGACTGTGAAGATAGGGAAAAAGACAAAAAAGAAAGGAAGGTAACAATGAACATGGCCCAGGGCTGGGTGATCCAAGTCCACTGTGGCATTGCAGAAGAAGGGGTTGGCAATCTACTTCTGAAAAGTCAGCCACTGAAAGAAAACCTTATGGAGTCAGGTTCTACCCTGATACGCATGATGTTGCCATGAGTCCAAATCAACACGAGGTGATTCTGGTGATGCTGGTAAAGGCACTGGGCTGTAAACCAATGAGAAGTATAGCAATGAGAAAATGAAGCTGCAAAGAGATGGGATAACCTCCAAAGTCACATGGCTAGTAATGGCAAAACCCAATCTGCCTGACTCCAGTCCTTCCTCTTTGCTCACACTGTTGCCTATGACTACTGTACCAAATTAGCACATACTTGGCTTAAAACTACACAAATTTATTAAGTTACAATTCTGAAGATCAGAAGTCCAAATCAGGTCTCATTGGGCTGAAATCAAGATGCCAGCAGGGCTGCGTTCCTTTCCGGAAGGCCTAAGGGAGAATCTGTTTCCTTGCATTTCCCAGCTTCTGTGGGCTGTTCCTGTTTTTTGGCTCATGACTACCCCTTCCTTTACTTTCAAAGCCAGCTGAGTCAATTTCTTTTCACATTGTATTAGTCTGACCTTTTCTGCACCCCTCTTCCACTTTAAAGGACACTTGTGATTATAAAAGGAACTCTGGTGATGCTGGGGTTAAGGCATTGGGCTATTAACCGAAAGGTCGGCGGGTCAAACCCACCAGCCACTCTGCGGAGAAAAAGATGGGGCCATCTGCTTCTGTAAAGATTTACAGCCTTGGAAACTCTATCCCTATAGATCACTATGAGTTGGAATTATCTCAGTGGCAGTGGGTTTGCATTTGGTTTGTGATTACAATGTGTACATCCAGATATCCAAGATGACATTTCTATCTTCAAGATCAGATTATTGGCAACCTCAATTCTCCCTATCCATGTAGAATAACATGGTCACAGATTCTGGAGATTAATGTGGGCATTTTTAGGGGACCATTATTCTGTCTACCATTCTCCCATAACTCTTGGCAGATCCCTTTTTGAATTAGAGTCTCCCAATCCCCTCATAAAACCTCTGGGGAGAGCATGAATCCTTTAAGAATCAAGGCCCAATTAACGAGTGGCTAGTAAATCAAAAGGCTGGCCATCTGCTTTCAAAAATCAGCCATTGAAAAAGCCTATGGAGTCTTACTCTGAGCACAGCAGTTCTACACTGACAGATATGGGGTCGCCATGAGTTGCAACTAACTTGATGGCAACTGGTTTTCAGAATTTGAAAGAGAGAAGAGGCACATTTTCAGGGAGAGGAGTTTCTTGTTTCCCTGGCATTACTCTCCCATAGTCATGGCTGCCTCTAATGTTACATGTCCACAATGGCAGCAGTGAAGATATTTCTCATTTATTCAACAAGCATTTAATGAATGCTTTTGATATACCAATACTTGGCTCATGAAACCCTACAGGCTCCTTTTGCTGAAAGTCTTCTCTAAGACTATACATTGAATTTTGTCTTGAGTAAGATAATGGTTCAGTCTTGTGGGTCTTGCTCTTAGATGAGGAAAGAGGCACATGAAGAAAGATACGTTTGAAAGACTTGGGGGTCGCTTCTGTGCCTCCCATCTTTGTTTGAATAAAACGGGGATCAAACACTCTTGGTAAAGCAATGATAGATTTTTCAGAGTTCATAATTTCTCCCTTTTGAAACTATTTGTCTTTTGTAATTTAAATATTTATCCAGTTAGCGTTAAGTTGATGCTTAGGCTATGATGCATTGAATAAGTTTTCTGGACCAAATATGCTATATTAATCATTCAGCAGATGAATGAAAACATCTTTCCCATTTACCTTGATGAGTATTTAATCAGTTTGGTTGCCCTAAGTACTCTCATCACTACTGTTTGCTTTCCTTTTCTTTGTTTCATTGTCTATCGTGATGTCTTTCCAAAACTAAAATAATTATCTGATTTGCTTGCAGGCTTAGCTGTAATTTTCCACATTCTTATTCAGTTCCTACAAACATCAGTGGCTAGTTTCTCTACTTTATTTAGCATAAACATGGATTACTTTATTAAAACAAAATCACCAAAAGAATTTTCAAATATCAAGGAAATCAGGAGGGGAATCTGGCAGGAAAGTAAGGTGGTGAATGAATACATTGGTGTCTTTGGGGAAAATCAATTGCATTGGACCTATTAAGCTTGTCCAGTAGAATTAGAAATTGATTATCATCTTTAATTACATTTCTTCACTTGGCCATTTGCCCTGACACTGTGCCTTCTTTCTCCCAAAAAGCAATTCTTTAATTTTTATTTTTTTTTTTTTGAGGAGGGGGATAAGAATATGCTGAAAGCTATAACATGAATATTCTTATAATTAAAAGATGTACATATCTGCATAAATGCAAAA